CTTATTCAAATTCAGATATTTATACGTATATATATATAAATATACATGCACATGTATACATGTTCTTATATATACATGTAAACAGTTAAGTCAAGTTTGTCTGACCTTATGCGATTTTGTTACCCTCAGAGGTGCGCCGTGGTGTGCTGCCGCGACTTATGAAGGAGATTCTAAGCACTCGTGTGATGGTCAAGAACTCGATGAAGCGTTATCGTAAGTATTGATATGTATAGCTCTGTCCCAATGGCATAACTAGATACATTTCGGAATTCAATCAGCAAGCTCAGGGGCATATAAGCGTGGTCGGTTCAGCGCTCTGGAAAAATGCTCATCGGCCAGCTGTAACAGGCCTACATATGTATCTGACCGCATGTTCAAGAAGCAGGGTTTAGACATTGCCTTAACCAACTCATTGGCTGAGTGGTTTAGCTATTAGTCGCCGTGATTGTAGCTAAGCGAGACATCGAAATATTTGTTCACACGGCCGTTTGTAGCCATGTATGGGTATGGAATTGCATTGTCCTATGTTTAGAGAGGGATGCGCTGTCTGGGATTCTGATCACGAACTATATAAGCTGCCGCTAGAACTTTGCTCAAGTGTACACCGATAGTTAGTACTGGGGTTTGTACATTACTATTAACGTTGAGCATCAATGTACTACAAGGTGAGAAGGTTCCACTACCAGGAACTCATGTATCTATGACATAGATCACGTATATAATGCTACATCCAACCTCGAGTGCACTATAGACGTACATAGGCATCACAGCTCTTTTTCGATACAATGACAATCTAAAACAGGCAACAGTATTGTCACTTAGCACCCCATCGATCTCTTGATCCTTTCTCACCTGTATACTTAACACATAGCCTATTCACTTTATGCATGGAATATACCTTCCCTTCTGTTAGCTCATGACCTCCTTACTCATTACCTACTTATGTGTATTAAATAAGCATATCATATATTCATCTCCTCCGGTATGCTTCTTTTCTATTTAGATCAAATATACTGTCCCATCCAAATACTTCATTACGTGTTAACATTGCATATCAATATACATTCTTTCCTGTATACTTATTATCCATCATGTAGTCACTTTGTAGATGAAATATACTTCTCTTCCTGGCCAACTTGCTTATTTCCTACTTATTTATTCACTTTGTATATCAAATGTACTTTCCTAGCGGTTCACTTGTTGCTTTGTATATTAAATATACCTTCGCTCCGGTTTGCTGATGGCCTACTTGCTCATTGCCCACTTTCATACGCACCTTGTGTATACTGATTACCTACATATGCCCCACCAACCTGTATACTGATTACCTACTCGCGTATTGACTTTTGTGTGTGAAACATACAGGCGACACGGATGCAGTGAAACACGGGATTCTGCACAACCGTCAGTACGCCCTGAAAATGATTGCTAATGTGGTAAGCCTTCACGTTCATTCTCACCATTGCTGAAAGTAATCCCTGGGAAGCTGCTAAAGTCATCTACAACTTCACTAATTGGCCCTACTGATCACTAACTATACTTTCAAGCAACTGATTTGTGATTGTCTGAGCGACCAAGTGAAAGTATTGGATATCGTATATCAGCCTAGCTGAACGGTACTTTGGTTACGCTATATGTATCTTACCCCTCTGTTGAACGGATCGTTGTCTATTTGCTGTCAATTCCGCACTTCAGCCGATTGTCACAAGGACGAGAAGTTTTCAAATGCCCGTCACGGGTCCTAAGTAGCTATGTGCCCGGGGTAATGCGCCTACAGTCTCTATTCACTTACTTCATTTTGAGCGAATCTGCTCAGTTTCTGTGCACCACTTACTTATATTTTTGTCTGCGGCAGACCTACGGCTACACGAGTGCCAGCTATAGTGGACGTATGCCGTGCGCTGATATCGCCGATAGCATTGTATCGGTATGTGGCTGCAAAGTGTCGAGTACATATCAATCGGCCGGATGTAACGGCGCTATTTAACATACTTCGATGGTGTGTATCATCCAACATGTTAGTGTCCTCATAGTATACATATCGCGGTAGCGTCTATTTGGGACTTACATACCATTGAGTGTGTGTAGTAACAGAATCTACGGCACTCAGCAACAGTTTTATTTCTGCTAGAGGATCGCATGTTTGAGTACATGCATATCTATGAGTTGCTGACAGTGAATTGCACATCTCAAACTATCCGTAAATACATGCATTTTAGCTCGGTAAATGGGGCACCCGATATTGACTGCACACATACGGAGTGATCTTCAATTCTTTCAGCGGCAAGCGTATGTGTGGGTTATATCTGATAAAGTTTACATTAGTGTTTAGTGCATGGCATGGATAGACCATTGAATCACCATGCCTGTCAGTTGATCTACCTGCAGTGCTGACCGTGAAAAAGAACAATGAGATAAAAAGGTCGAAACCCCAAATTTCAATTCGAGAGATTGAACCGGGTTTGACCCAAATATTATTCGTAGCACAGAACAGGCCGTTTGGCATCACAGCTCTTACGACTGGACTACACAGTTACGCATCTTCTAACGCAGTCACATACAATCATGTAAGCACCAGCAAATCGGAAGTATAGTTTCGTGATTGAACATTACTAGTGATTTACTAAGAGCACTTGAGTTTGCCATAGATATCACGCGAATGAGCTATCAATAATATGCGGATGAGTTAGGAATACAATATTGCTGAGCTATCAATAGCACGTAGATAAACTATTGATAGCACGTAGATGAACTAAGAATAGCACGTAGATGAACTAAGAATAGCATGTAGATGAGCTATTGATAGCACGTAGATGAACTAAGAATAGCACATAGATGAGCTATTGATTGCACGTAGATGAACTAAGAATAGCACGTAGATGAGCTATTGATGAGAAATGAATGATCTATAATTGCGATGAGCTATTAATAGCAGATGGATGAGCTAGTATTACAATATAATTGAGCTATGAATATCACGTAGATGAACTATGAATAGCACGTAGATGAGCTATTGATGAGAAATGAATGATCTATCAATTACGATGAACTATCAATAGCAGGTGGATGAGCTAGTATTGCAAAATAATTGGGCTATGAATATCACGTAGATGAACCATGAATAGCGCGTAGACGAACTATTGACAGCACGTAGATGAGCTATTGATGAGAAAGGAATGATCTATTAATAGCGATGAACTATCAATAGCAGGTTGGGAGCAAGTAATACAATATAAGTGATAGCACGTAGATGAGCTATCGAACAATAGCACGTATATGAGATATTGCTGAGAAGTGGATGATCTATTAATAACGGGTGGAATAGTACGTACATGAGCTATTAACTGCACGTAAATGATCTATTAGTAGCACGCGGATGGGCTGTTGATGACACGCGGGTGATATATTATCAGTACGTGGATCACTTAGTATTGTAATGAGCTATAGATGGCACTGCACGTGGGTGATTTACCAATAGCAGATAGGTGAGTTGCCAATAGCATTTAAATGGGCAATCAATGGACACACAAATCAGTTCACCTTACGACTCAACCAACATACCTCAGACCTCGCCTGTACGGCAGATTGGGTTATCACACAATATTAGGTCTACCAACCTGCTAATAATCGAAAATTAGGCAACTATTCTACCTCAAAAATCGTCACCATGCCCTGGGAAGTTCCATGCAGCTTAAAAAGCAATATCCTGCACCTTTGTATACGCCCACACACCACCAGTTCTTCAATATGACTCAACTAGCAAGAGTACAGCTTGGCACACGGTACACACTTGCATACTCACCAACATTCTATCAATACGACATGGCTCATTCCACCCCACAGCTCGGCCGTCATACGTTGGAAAGGTCCATGCGCTTTATAGAAGCCACTTGGCCCGGTACTAAAGTGGTCTATGGGGACACCGACAGTGTGTTTGTGCACGTGCCAGGGGCTTCCAAGGTAAACAAGCAAATGGTCGATACAAGTATGCATATATTTGATGCAAGTATGTATATGTTTGATACATGTATGCATTTGTTTGATATATCTGTATGTGTGATTGATGCATGTATGTGTATGTTTGATAAACGTATTTATATGTTTGATACGTTTATGTGTATGTTTGATACATGGATGTATATGTTTGTTTATCTTTGATACGTTTATGTGTATGTTTGTTATATGTATGTATATGTCTGACATGCTTATGCATTTGCTTGATATATCTACGTGTATGTTCGAAGCAAGTATGTATATGTTTGATACCGTCATGTATTTGTTTGAGGAAAGTAGTGAATGATGCGTTCGATACAGATATGCATATGTTCAAGGTATGTTATGTATGTATATGTTTGCTATAGCGTGTACTTGAACGTGCCTGGATAGATTTATATGTGTTTCTTGCCGCGTGTCCCTCTCCTGCCTAATATCTGAATTAATCGCCCTCCCTTAGGCCGGTAACTGGCCCATAGTTTATCAAATCTGAATATTGGTTTCTGTTCGATGCTCATATCTGATTGTGATTCCTGATATTGGCTCACAGTCGAATTTACAACCCAGATCCAGTATTGTCCTGACCGTGTATCGACTAAACGCTCGCAGAAGTCTGCATTCAACATTGATCAAAATGTTCACAAACATTCCCTTAAGTAGACCAATACCTTAGTTAGTGTGAGTATACTTAGACAAGTAATATCTTCGTCTATTTGCAGAACTATGTCCAGTATGCTTTCGTGTTGTCAAGAAATGCATACCTATACCCTTTAACTATATTCATTTTCATAAGCTTGTGTCCTCTACTTTCGTATGTTACCCTGGTCGCAGGAGTCGGCTTTCAGAATCGGTCAGGAGATTGCCGAGGCCATCACTGCGCGTGAGCCACGTCCAATGGAATTGAAGTTCGATAAGGTGTGCTTGCAATGCAGCTCATATATATATATATATGTATGTCTGTACACGTGTGTGTGTGTGTGTATATATGTGTGTGCGTATATGTATGGAAGTATGGAAGTATCTATATATATATA